AGATGTATCATGGGGGTGTTGCAACCTAGAAGACACAAATTTGACTAACAAGTTATAAGTACATGAGTCCAAAAATTATGGAAAAGTAAAAGAAAAGATCTCAGATGATGGCTCAGGGGAAAAATGATACAATGTTTAATTCTGATTGACTAGACTTTGACATGTATGTATGGTTTAAAAGTAATTAAAGAAGTTTTATACACTTTATTGGAAAAGAAATCATCTTCAAGATCTGAGGGCCAGACTGGCAGCCACCTTTTTTCTCTAAATAGGACAAAGAAATCCTTGCCTGTGACGGCAAGGAAGCAGGAGAAAGAAAGAGACACATTTCGACATTTTCATTTCCTTTAGATCCTAAGAGTTCATAAAAGCTAAGACAGATTAAATGTTGTGAATTTTGTTCAAGGAAATAATACAGCCATAGCCCTTCACTGTTTCCCATCCTAATGTCTGGGAAACCAGTTTCTACTGTCAGGTCTGTCTCTGTAGAAAGAACACTGCTGTTCAGAAAACAAATTTTCCATTGATAATCATATTCATTGACAAATTTGATGTTCTACAGAAAATATTTTAGTCTAACAACACATTTGTCCTCAAAAAAGTCTCCAGAAGAGCCTAAATCCTAATACACTCTACACATTTAAAAAATATATATATATATATTTTACCAATAATTTAATTCCCTCTCCTATGGGGCAAATAATTCCAAACTGGCATCATTCTTGTTGAGGCAAGAAAGTAGAAAACTCCAGGGTACAGGCAATTTATGCGGACTATTTAGTGCAGTACACAGAGGCAGATTATTCAACAAAGACAAATAACCCACCCCCGGGACACTGCAGCTGCAGATTAAATTAGTGAATAGAACAAGTAAGCCTGTGTTAACCTTATTTACTGGTTAATCTGATACTGATGGTGGTGAAAATGCCCAAGAAGTGTGTCTACCAAGCCATCAATCTGAAAAAGGAATCTGCCTGCACTCAACAACAAACTTTCTCAGGAAGTAAAAATGTTAGGTTTCAATTGTACTTACAGAGATGTGCTGGTCCTTTCACTGTTATTCTCACACTTCGACTTCCCAGAGGGACAGCAATGACATTTTCCTCCCCTAGGAAAGAACATAAGACCAATGTAGTAAGATGTACACACTAATCTCATTACTGTCAATTTAATTCCAACTGGTCCATGACACTACAAATGAGCTCTGGTAGCCCACTAGTAAGAAGCTGTGCTGAAATCCCAAAGGCACCTGTTTCAAACCCACCAGTTGCTCCATGGGAGAAGGATGGGCAATCTCTTCCCTGCCATTCACTGCCTCTGAAAATCTGCTGGAGGATCAGATATGGGTTGGTCCCAACTCCATGGTACTCAATAACAACAACAATAAGGGACATGACAGGACAGAGTAGAACTGCCCCATGGAGTTCCCAGACTGTAAATCTTTCTTCTGCTTCATCTCCAGACTGCTTCATTTCTCTTCTGCGGAGTTATTGGTGGGTTAGAACTGCTGACATCTCAGTTAGTAGCTGAGTGCTTAACCCCTGCACTGTCAAGGAAGACTCTCTTCTGCACTAAACACTCATCAAAACGAACAAGTCAATTCAAGCTGAAAGCACTTGTGAAGTAGTATTTGGCAGTGTGTAGTCTCAATTGTAATAGTGAAGGAATCATAGGGAAACATCCATTTATGTTTATGGTAATATGTAATATTTATTAACTTGTAAGAGTGTGGAAATTATCGAACAATATCATTAATAGCACACAAAAAGAAAATCCTGCTGAAGGTTACCAAAAATGACTGCAGCAGCATGTAGACAGAGAACTACCAGAAATACAAGCTGGGTTAAGAAGAGTTTTATCACTAGAGACATTATTGCCAATATTACTCTCTGAAAGCAGAGAGTACCAGAGGAATTTCTTTCTGTGTTTCATTGACCAAGCAAAGACATTTGACTGTGTGGATCAAAACAAACTGTGCTAACCTTGAGGAGAATGGGAATCTCAGATCACTTGATTGTGCTTATGTGAAACCTATACTTAGACCAGGAAGCATCCATCAGACAGAGCAAGGAAATATTGTGTGGTTCAAAATCAAGAAATGAGTGTGACAGGGATGCCTCAACCTATACGCAGATCACTCGGGAGGCTAAATTTTATAAGAAGGATTGTAGCATCAGGATTGGAGAAAGACTCATCAACAACCTATATTATGCAGGTGAGGCAAACCTGCTTACTGAAACTTAACTTTATAAGAAGGATTGTAGCATCAGGATTGGAGAAAGACTCATCAACAACCTATATTATGCAGGTGAGGCAAACCTGCTTACTGAAACTTAGAAAAACTTAAAGCACTTGCTACAGAAAGTTGATTGAAGCTCAACATCAAGAAGACAAAGATTCTTACCACTGTGTCAACTGACAGAATTATGATAGATGGAGAAGAGATTGAAGTTGTTAACAGTTTTAGCTTCCTCAGACCCTCAGTGAACACTCTTGGCACCAGCAGTCAGGAAATCAAAAGATTAATTTCACTGGTAAAATCTTCAGTCAGGGACCTCTCCAGAGCACTGAGAAATAACAATGTCGGTCTAGAGACTAAGGTGCACATGATCCAAGCCATGGTCTTCACAATTACTTGCTATGATTCAGAGCTGGGAAATGACAAAGGATGACAGAAGAAGAATCAATGCCTTTGAGTTGTGGTGCTGGAGATAAGTATTGAACTTACTATGGACTTCCAAGAAAACAAACAGGTCTATTTTAGAGAGGGTGAAACCAAGTTTCTCTTTGGAGGCTAGGATTTTGAAGCTCTATCTCACATACTTTGGGCATGTGGCCAGGAGAGATCAATCCTTGGAGAAGGACATCATGCTTGGAAGGGCGGATGGACAATGCAATAGAGGAAGACTCCGGATGGATTGGCACAGTAACTGGGGGGAATGGGTGTAAGTGTTTTGGAGTCAGTGACACTGACTCAGGACAGGGCAGGCTTCAGAGATGTTGCACAGAGGGTTGCTATGAGGAGCAGATGATTAGCCAGCACATAACAACAGTATCAACAATGTGATAGTATTTACACGGTTGAAAAGTTGAAAATGTTAAACTCTATTTATGGTTTACCTCTTCATTACCTGTTGTTGGTTGTCTTCAAGTCGAACACAACTCATAGCCACCCTATGGACAAAATATCTGAAGCCTTTCTATAACTGTTGTCATTTCTCAAAGTTCATAGAGTTTCCAGAAGCATGTTGTTTAGGAAGTGGATGCCACTCCTGCTTCCAAACTTGTGCTCAAGAAATTGAGTAGAATGACAGTTAAGTATTGAGCTTCTAACTGAAAGGTTGGCAGTTTGAACCCACTCAGAAGATACAAGAGAGAAAGAGCTGGTGATGTGTATTTATAAAGATTGTAACCTACAGTACCCTGTGGGGCAGTTCTACTCTGTCACGTGGGGTCTCTCTGAGAGGGAATCAACTCAAAAATACCCAGTAGCAATCATTGATCCGGGGCTCAGGTATCTTCATTATGAGTACCTAAGGCCCTCAGGTCAAATCCAGCTCCGCCCATTCTTGTATAAATTGCTCATGGTTGTTTTTCAATCTCAACAATAGAGGGTCACTTAGTGGTAAGAAATGGCACTGCCAATGCAAAGGTACATGGTTCAAATCAACCAGCTGCCCCATGAAAGAAAGATGTCAATCTCCTCCCTGTAACTCACAGCCTTTCCAAACCCACTAGAGGGTCAACTGCGGCTTGGTTCTGACTCAATGGTACATGACAATAGTTTTATTGTAACAGAACAATATGGCTTGCAAAACCTAAAATATTTACTTTCTGATTCTTTACAGAGAAAACTTGGTGAACTCTCACCTTGGTCATCACCTCCTTGAAGTTCTGGTTCTCATGGAAATTTTTTCATACTTGTTGCATATTAACTTAGGTCAATTCATACTAAGGAATACCTTACAACTGATAAAAGAAATCGTAAGAAGTGGTAACTACCTAATTTTGAAAAATCATCAATGTAAATTCATGAGTTAAAAGAACAAGTTAGAAGACAATATATATTGTAGTCTCAGCGACAGAAGCACATAGACTTAAATATTACATTTTTTATGTATATACACACACACACACACACACCACTTCTCGTTCATCAACACAGGTTCCAAAGACCTGATCATTATATAAAATCAGCATTATGCAAGAGTTGGGGGCCATGGTTCATCTTTGATGATGCCCCCTTCCCACTCATCATTACTCACTTGCCGTCGAGTACCCCAGTATGACTTGGGTACATGTGGCACAGAGGAACCCCTTTTTTCTCACCTTCTCAACATTGCCCAGGCACAAGGGTTGGAGATCATGGTGGCATGAGGTGCTGTATGCTGATCACTGCCTCTGGGGACAGAGACCCTGTTCATTCTCCATCAACCCCTGCCCTGTAGCTTCACCCAGCCCCCTTTCTTTTTCCCTTCCTGAACCCTTACACCAACCCCCTGGCACCATCAGCCCCTTGCCCAGCCTCCCCTGCCCACTCATGATTTTGGGTCACCTTGCCACTGGCCCTCACCCTCTGTGAACATCTCTTTGAGATGTTGTGAACAGGTAGGAAAAGGCATTCCAAAGAAGACCAATCAGCCATCATCCTGCACATGGCCAGGTCTTTGAGGCCTCTGGTATTTCATTCTGGGTGGCGTGCTGAGGTCACCCTGGACCCAGCTTGACTCTATGCAGGGCCTGGACTACTGGAGCGATTGCTTGAGAAATTTTTTCAAAAGTTGTAAATGTACAAATGGAAAACAAGATAGATGTTGATAAAGAAGTTGACATTTTTATTGTGTGCATTGAATTAAAACTGACTAATAGCTGATCCTGCAGTAAGTTTTCACAGGCTGTAAATTGCACAGGTGTATAATTTCCAGCTTTCTCACATGGAGCAGCTGGTGGATTTGAACCTCCTGCCTTTGGGTTGGCAGCACAACCCTTTACTAGGCCACCAGAACTTCCAAGTGAGGAGTAAAATGTATATATTTTATAGCAGTATACATGTATATATTATGTTGTTGTCATTGTTAGGTGCCACTGAGTTGAGTATGCTGTCAAGTGTGACTCATAGTCATCCTATGAACAATGGATCTGAGACTTGTCCTATCATGGACCATCCTCACAATCTCTGACACACTCAAGCCTACTGTTGCAACTGCTGCAGTCCTTTGCTGACCCTCTGTCAAATACGATGTCCCATTCCAAGGAATATCCTCTCCCAGCAAGGTGCCCAAAGTGTGTGAGATGAAGCTTCATCATCTTTGCCTCCAAGGAGCACGCTAGCTGTAGCTTCTCAAAGACATATTCTTTGAGAATATGTTTGCTCTTTTGGTAGTCCATAACTTCAGAACTCTTCTCCATTGCCACAGTTTAAAAGTTTAAATTATTCTTCTGTCATCCTTACTCATTATCCAGCTCTCAGATGCATAACATGTGGCCGAAAAGACGATGGCTTGAATCTGGCACTTCACAGTCCAAACAAACTCAGATAATTTCTCGTCAATAATTAGGAGAGGTCCCTGACTATAGACTATCCCAGTGAACTATGTCTCCTGATCTCCTGACTGTTGCTTGGGTTTCTCTTTTTTTTTATTATTATTATAATGAAAATTTACAAAGACTTTGGATTTCCATTCATTCATTGTTGCACTTTTCTCCCTGCCCACCCCTTCCCCAAGTACACTCTTCTCTTTGAAAAGTGGAATAAAAATCTTTCTATTGTTTTACAATCCCTCTGCCACTCCCCGCCCTCAGGTCCACTCCACTATGCAGCTTTCATTCTGGACTCTGGTCATGACAATAATACCTAATCACATATCCCTTTTAAACAGTTTTCTCCCTCATCTGTTTCAATGCAGTTTACATTATTCATCTCATCTTTCTCAGTTTCCCCAAAACGCTGATGTCTGTCCTGTTTTACAACAGTGGCACTACGCAGTATTTGTCTTTTTGTGACTGAGATATTATTTCAGTCAGCATAATGTCCTCCAAGGTCACCCATTTTGAATAATATTTTGTGAGTTCCTTGTTTTTCAATGCAGCGTAGTATTCCATTGTGTG